AATTATAAAGAGGTAATAGGAAAAATTCTTGGAAAGATCAGGTTTGTTTATAAATAATATTTGACATCATCAGTGGATATATTACTAATTACAGGAGGGAAAAAAAGAAAAGCAAAAACATCACAAGAAAATCCAATTCCCATTTTGCTCTTGGTTCAGAGGCAGGAAGGAATGACCATTTAACACACACAATTAAATTTAAGCCCTGTGTAAGCATAAACTTCTCTATCCATAGTAGCTTTCACTGTAGTAACTTCTCTGAGTGAATAATACAGATAAAAGGGGTCACTGAGTACATGAACAAAAAAAAAATGCATCTTACATCTAAATATATTAAAAATCAGATATAAAATTTATTAAATTATAAACATATGTTTAAATGTAGTTTTAAGAAGTCAAGTATATTTATATACATTGCAGACTTTCACAATCAACTGATTATCTCAGTTACAAGACCAAGGTAAAGATGGTGGTAGAGGTGGTAACTGGTGATCAAGTAGCAAAGACATAGACTTACCAGAGGAGTAAACTGTTTGGAAACTGCTTCAAATACTTTTTTCCCTGCCTTTGGTCAGCCAGAAAGAAATGGTTTTGGCTAATATGACATTTGTACCTCAGCCTCTTTCCTGGGTACAAATAATCTCTTATCCCTGGCCTTCAGAATTTTCCAGGTCTGCTTAGTACTATGAACTTCCTCCTGTAGATGTGTTGTAGAAACCATACTTGTGTGGCCTCTCTGGTTGTGGCCAACCAACTGATAACCCAATCTTGCAGCAAATAAGCAGCTCCCTACCACATCAAAGTAGCAGAAACCCTAATGCATATGTCAGAACTGTTCTTGCTTGCTTTCTTCATAACAGTGTGTAAACACAGATAAATTAAAAAAGAAAATGTGTAGGTAAGAGAAATGTATTGTGAATTGCAGACATCATGAAACAGAGACATGTAAGAATTCCATTCTGCAGATCAAAGCTCACTCCTATTGTTTGTTCTTTACAAGTCAGAAAGAAAAATCTAACATGCAGCTTTATTTTGAGCATAGCCTAAAATTAGATAACAACTGATTTCTGCCATTAGAAATGAAACCTCATGAGAGCAAGAGGTCCCCCAGAAGTTATGGTTCTGAATTCAAATATGTTTTAACCCATTAGATATTAAGTTGATGGGGGACTGTGAAGTATTATAACACATTGCCAAACTTACTGTTCTAAGCTCTTTAGAAGAGCCACGGGATTATACAGAAAAAAGTCAAGAATCATATTTTACAGTTAATTTAATATACTGTGGTACAGAATGATATACTATATACAGAATATCCAATGATAGGCAGAATATGAAATCTTCTGTGTAGCTATGTTCTTATATGTAGAGACACAACCACGACTGTTTAGGATTACCCTGCTTATGTTAAGCTTAGAATATGGAACACTAACAAAAATATGTTAGAGGCACTTACAAAAACTATAAAGTGTGAAAATCTCCAGCCGCATACAAACCATAAATGTGTTACAGAAAATTGCAGCACTTGTCTTTCCAGCTTTCATTATCAAAGCTGTGATTTTCTCAGCATGTTCACTGGCAAACTGTACTGCTTTGACACTAATAAAGTCAGTAACACTCTGCTATACCTGGTATTACAGGAAGAATACAAAAAATACTAACAGAGTAAACTCAGACACATCCATCCATGAACAAGGGATTTCTGCCATTATATTTGCCATTTCCAGGGTGAAGGCTTAATCTCTAGTAGCTATGAACAATATAGATTTTATATCTGCAAATTTAAACAAAAACAAACAATCCCTAATGAAACATGTTTAGAAATATTCCCATCTACTTCAGCCAATGGTAGAAGTATTTACAAAATTTTAATATGAAATATTTACCAATAATATAGACTATTTCATGTGTTGAGAAGATGAATAGTCTTCTCTGTACCACAAACCAATTTATAGCCACACCTCTAACTGCAAAGGAGATTACTTGTAACTACTTTTCACATACAATATTTCCAAATATTGAGAGAACTTGCTGATATAATTTTTGTGTGCTTTTACTTTTAGAATAAAATTTCTGCTTATGAATAAAGCATTGTTTGAGTATTCAAAGTTACAGACAAATACATTATATTTATTATTGCCCAAACATTTCAGAAAAAAGCATGCATAAATCATGTCATACAACTTCCAAGATGCATCAAGTCTCTCCTAGCTGCTCTTGAGAGGAATAACATTGTGTGTATGCCATATCAAACATTCTCTTTACAACAACAATGGATTTCTCTTCCCCCATAAAGCAGTACTTTTGTTAATAACAGAACATGAAAATCATACCAGTGCACATATTAACTAATTCCTGCAATCTCTGTAAATTCCAGCTTAATCTCCAAACAGAAAAGAGAGCTGGACTAAAAAACTCCAAAGAAAATATTTAAACATTTCCAGAAGCTGACAAACTCCATTACTTGAATGTTTTGTGCAAACGTGCCTATCTCATTTTCTTTAATCTGACAAATGAACTTTGTAATGCTTCCAAATACAGTGTTCTAATGCTCAAATTAATTCTAATGGAATCATAATTTTAATTCTAATATTACATTTATAGTGTATTAGAGAAAAGTGACTAAACAAATGGATCCATTAGACCATAAATCTTTGCTGAAACCTTTGTTGTATTTCTGTATAAACACCTACAGAAACATTTCTTGAAATATTTTTTCACTGCTTGAAACTAGAAGAACATTTTAGGCAAATGCATAGGAGTGGCTGAGTGAGCTTGTGAAGGGTTTCTATAGAGAACTAGATTCACTCAGCGTTACATAATTGGGAAGTTCATCTCCTTACCCACCTGAAGTGATCACAGCTCTGGAAGCTTCCAGGGGAGTTGGTCTTTTAGCCAAATGCTGTAGTTTGTCACTGTTCCCACTTGCCTTCCCCTCATCTCCTAGGTCACCCCTTGGCCAGAACCTTGCAGAGGGTCAGCCCTTCTGGTTGGTTCCGTACCCTTCAGTGATGTGTGGAACAGTTACCTCAACACACAGACAACGCTCCTGTCCCCTGCCCTCATGCTGGCCCCAGCAGAGCTGCTCCAGCCCGACACAGACACCACGGTTCGATAGCTGGGACTCTCGTGCTGTGCAGGTATTCTCAAGCATGAGTACAAATCTCATTGCTACACCAACATAAATCACCTTTAAAATTACTGCTGTTTGTAAGCCTTCAACCCACCAGATTATTTGTGCTCTTTGGCACTGCAGAGGCCCAGCTGAGCTCATGTTCATATACATACTCACGTTCATGTACACAACGATGTAATTGTAAACTGGTGAGTTAAATTGAAAACCTAAACATCCTCCCTTCTCTTTGATAAGCAAAATATAGATAAAAGAATGAATTCTGCTAAGAACAAAGTGAAGTATATTCTACAACAAACTGAAATTTCAAATTATGTTTGGTAGAGTGACTAATCAACTCCTAAACCAGAAAGATATTATAAATATTTCTAGAGTCTTAAACTGAGGAACAGATGAAAATAGAGTCCCTGTTTCTTTTAAGTTGTGAAAGCCAACCTTAAGTGTATCTTAATGCAGGAGTGTTTTTTACTAAATATCATCGTTTGTGTTGCTAATACATGGCATATGTAAAAAGTGTTAATAAATATCAAGCAGTGTACCTAATTACATGGCATATGTAAAAAAGCAGAATACACCAAAATATAAGATTTCCAGCTTAAAATATTCCAAGTCTAAACATAAACTAAAATACAGTCTAAAATACAAATTTTGTTGAAAGCAGATTAATCAAATGCAATGAAGAATGCTATTATGTCCTCTTTGTTCTCTTTCATGACAAATTTATTGATGTTTTATTCAATCTGCATTTATAAATAAGGGTTATGAATCTTTTAAATGGTAGCATTTGACTAATACTTTTACATTGTCATTATAAGAAATAGTTATTATTCTTTTTATAGAAGAATTACAATGCATTGCTCATTAGTATTAGAATTCTCCTTGAAAAGAAACCTTACAATGGAAATTAACCTGTGAAAATACAGAAAGGGACAATCTTCAAGACTGCACATCTACACAGACTTCTCTAAATCTATTTTTTCTTTGAAAAAAGAAACAAAGGTTTAATAATAAGTGTAAAAAAAAGAACAAAATAGTATCCAAATAAGTGCAGAAAAATCACCTTCTCCAAGCATCCTAACCACTCAAGCCAGAACATTTTTAAAATTTTAAAAGAAAGCAGATATTTTAGATTCATGTTTCTGATCTAGAGTTTCATGAGCTAAATATGAAACCAAGTGCTGAAAGCTTTAATGTCATCAATTTGTCAAGAAGAAAAAATTGAAAAAGCAAAATGTTCTTTCTAATGTGTTTGTTTAATCTTTTAGACTCATAACAATTGAATACTGTAATTATTTATCCTTTTTTATTATCCCAGTTTCTGCTGAAGTTATCTTTACTGTAGGAATTGCTGCACACCCAGGTTTGCAGATTTCTATACATCTTTTTCTCTCTGAATGCTTTGGTGAACATTCTTCCTTTAATTCAATTACAGACACTGCCAAAATGTGTCTACTTACATGCCAAAAATCAAAATACTCATCACATAATTTCTTTTCTACTCTAAAGCTTAGTATTTTTCACACACCAAATTTCAAGCAGTGCTATGTGAGCCAGACCTGTCTGCAAAAGGCAGGAAAACAACTGTATGACTGAAACCATTTGCAAAAAAAAGGCCAAGTACTGTAAAGTTGCCAAATTAACTGTTTTTGTGTAACCTGAATACTTCAACAGAAGGCTGTGGGAAAATCTGTAGCCAGTCTCAACTGTAAAAAGAAATCACCATTTATTTTGTAATTTGTCTCCTGCATGCAACTTGAACTACAAAAGAATTGTTCTGCAATCATAACTATTCACTGTAACAACAATTTAATTCCTTCCTATTTACATAGGAGAAAAACTAATCCTCTAAACACTGTCCTCTTTACAGTATGACTCCACAGATGCCAACTGTAAAGGACTCCAACACCCCTCTTCAGGGAGCTGGTAAGTATAATTTCTGTGAGAAGAGACTATTTCTTAGTTTCTTTTGTTCTTTCTAAACATTCAGTGGTGATAGTCAGCTCTCCTGCAATGATTATGCTCTCCCATATAATCAGAAATATGCTTCAGAGCCCCTAGAACTAAAACTTTCATCTACTGAGCTTCAAAAGAAGAAAAAAATGACAGTACACCTAAAGGTGTGAACCTTCTTTCGGACTGGTTCTTGTATAAGTTACAGCCAGGAAATCGGACACCTGTAACCCTAAAGGTTTTCTCCATTTGATTCTCCTGAATTACTTTAAATCAGTTTTTCAAATGAAACTTTACCCAGAAAATAATACCTTTGTCACTTCAAATTGGTATGACATGATTCCTTGTCAAATTTTCAGTAAAAATAACTGGGTTTGCAGCTTCTCTCTGCTGCCTCTACTTTAACAATGATTCATTTTTCCTTTCCAGCCACAGAAGAACTGTTTAAAAGTTCTGTGTGGGTTTTGTTTTTCAATATAGCATGCTGCTTTATACTGAATTTCCTTTATCTGTACAGCAGTGATAACAACATCCACTCAAGTGTTACTCACTTACTAAGAACCTTTCAACTTCCCAATGAAGTTCTGCTGGCCAAGGATGTTGCTGACTCTGCCACTCTTGGTAAGGGAAGGAACTTCTGGCCTATCCTACAAGGAAATGTCACGACTCCCAGTTTAGAGAACCAGTAGTGGCTGGAAATAGTAATTATGGAGAAAGCAAGATTGGTTTTCTATTATAAACTGTTTCCTTCTTATGGTTAACCAACATTAGTAAAGAAACAAAGACATACAAGAATGAAGTCTGGCTTATCTTTGACAGAAGGAGAAAACACTCACTGAATTCCTTGAAGCTGACATTTCACCCAGGACATGATTAGATACTGATGACCAAGAAATCAAGTTATAAAAGAAAAATATACAATGCACCTTAAAATCTATCCAAAGCCCAGGTTTTAACCAGCCCAATGATTTCAGCTGTACAAAATTAAACCATCAGCATAATTTTTACCACCAAAACCTACCTTTCTTCTACCTTACTTTGACCATCAGGTTTCCCTCATGCTAATTTTCTAACTTTTTGTTTCACTACCCCATACATATTCCAAACTATTTTTACTGCTCTTTATTATTTTTCACATGTTCCAGACATTATTTCTTTTTACAGAATAGTATGTATAAGTATACACAAGTAACAAAATTCCACAAGTATCTAAAATCCTGAATTGCAAAAACCTGTCTTTTTCTTCACATGTGAACTCTTTACACATAAGACTCATTAAAGATTGATCTCAGCTCTATTTACACAATTAACTCTAGATGCCCAAATAGAGGAGGAAGTATTACCCCAAACAGTAGCAGGAGGGAGAAGGAAACTACTCCTTGAGTAGAAGAAAAGTACCTTGGGTGAAGAATGAAAACATAATTTCTTGATAAGGTCCCAATTATGTCTTTAATTTCAAAAATATTTTATACAATTTTTGAAATAATTTTCATTTTATTTTCATAGTTCTTCAGCCAACACCTCTGTTAATAATTTTTTTTCATAGAGGAAGTCAGAAACAGAAGAGATTGTATAGACATTGTATTACAAATGCCTTAAAATAAATGAAAAAGTTTTCATAAAGTCTGCATTAAAAATCAGATCTAAGTAGGTTCTACATCATTGTGTGGCATCACATGCAGTTCTTTTTGCCATTTTTTGAGTGCAGCTGGCAATTCACATCTCTTCTGGTAATTATATGTCACATAAATATTTCATGGCACAATAATTATGCAAACCCTATCTGTCTGATAGAGGCTGCCATATATATAAGTACATTTTCCAGCTCTCTGTAGGGTAATTTGAACCAGTATTCCTCAATCAGCATAGGAAATACATGCATTTTGTATGTATCCATGATATAATTCCTCTCAAAAACTACAGATTTGAATTATCACATCTTTTTCTAGTCAGGCTTCTGAACAAAGCAGAAATTCATGCCAATAATTTATATAAATGTACTCTCTGAGCAGTCAAAGACTTCTCTTGAAAGTATATATTTGAATATTTTACAAGTTTTGCAGCTGGTACATCACATGTTAAGTAAATTAATTCCCATGGAAAGACTTCATTATTTCCTTAATTTCTACTGGGAGTCACAGAGGTGCCCTTTTCTTTGTCTTTCACAAACAATTAACCTTTTGCCATGTATGCAATTGGCTGAGAGCAATCCTAAGTGGCTCAGAAAATAATTTACAGCAGAAACTGTACAAAGTTAATTAGTATTAGTCTAAGGTTATTCATATATTATCAACCTGAGAAAATGGTCATCATGACCCTCACGGAACTTTAAGCAACAGCTGAGTCTTCTCCTCATCAGCTGCAAAGCACAAATGCTAATCACATTTAAGTATAGACACAGGTCTTTTAACCATGGCTATTTTAAGTCTTGATGTTAAAACTTCTCAAAGTACAGGTACATACAAGCATGCAAAGTAAATAACTCTATGCTATTAGTCACTTCTTATGTTAAACAAAACAGAAACAACCAACCAAAACCAACTCTCTTTTCATTTTACCTGAGAATGTTTTCTGTGTTCTCATTTTTGGAGATCAGATCGTTCCATTTTTAGAGATTGTTTCTGCCTAAAGATTAAGCCTCTTCTGAATTAATTAGGAGCATGACTACTTCTAAAGACAGAATCAACACAGACAACACAGTCTCAATTTTAATTTTGGAGAACCAGAAAGGGAGCTCTCAGTGTGCTTCTTCTACTACTTGAAGTGCACATTATTTGATTTCCAAATGTCTGCACCGCTAGCCATGTATGTGAAAGATGGAGTGTTACGGGTTAGTGACTCAAAACATTCCCCGGTTGTGAAGGTACCAGAGGGCTTTATTGGAGATGGTTTAGGAGATGGAGGAGTTGAGCTTTTGGGTATTTGTATTAACAGCTAGTTCACACTTCCTTTTGGTACCTATGGCAAGTGTGTCCACCAGCAGCCAGTCTATTATATGGAATCACCTTCTACCATTGTATGCCTTAGGTACTCAGTTAAATTTAACTGACAGTCTCACTTACAAAGTAGACTTACATTCCCTATTGAGGGACAGAGCTGTGTATACTGGAGACTAATTAAAGGTAATCACAAGTCCTAAAATACAGTTACAATGGCCAACAGCCTTCCTGGGCTCCACCTAGACCACAGTGTCCCCACACAGGTATTTAATGGGAGCTGAGTTTCATAGGCTCCTGCACATGGGCACAACTTTGCTGCTGAGTACAGACAGCAGATCGTCTCCCAAAAAGAGCCATGGCCAGGCCAGGTCCAGACAGGGATTCAGTCATGGCCATGTCAACACCGCCCTCACTGCTGAGTGTTGTAAAGGCACCAGCTTTGCCCTGCAGGGCAGGAAGGACAATACTAAAATCTTTGTTTCTAAGGGCAGGGAGGGGTGGGGGAAGGTGAAAAGTACCTTCTGCACAGACTGTTCCTGTCATGGCACGCAGGTATATGTGGCAGCAGACTGAGGTGGCCCCTGGAGCACAGCGAGCTATTTCCTCATGGTGCCAGGCACCAGGGCCAGCCTGGCCCCCAGCACTGCTCAGCCAGCAATGCCAGCTGCTGCCATCAGGCCAGCACAGCCACAGCGCAACTCTGAGTGGAACCCTGGGAGCAGAGTAAGTTTAGGGACTGGTTTTAGCTGGTATAAGGCTCCAGATAAGGAAGATATTAGAAAAGGGTAGTTGTGAAACACTGGGTCAATGGTACCTTGGCTGCAAGTCATCGGCAGATTTTAACAGCAGCAGTGGACTCCTGACTGAAAATCCTTGGAATAGTGATTTATTCAGCAAAGGTTACCAGCCCATTCTGGAGATCAGTGGGAATGAACCAAACAGTCCCTTTTGGCTTTGTAATCCATCAGTCTGCAAATTCTAGTTAAATTTTAGCATGTGAAGAAATGGATTGGGTAGCTGGTCAAAAGAGCTCTACTTTGCAGATGACTTACAGTTATCTTGTGGAAAATTTCTCATTGCTGATCTGAAAGACTCTTAGATTCTTTCTGCAACTCACTTCATAGCTCAAAACCATATTACAGCTTAAATAACATCTATAAAAAACATTGTCAAGCTGAGTATCTCTGTGGTTGCTGGAAAGTAAAAAAGCCTGATCCCTGATTAAAGAAAAACTCAAAAGATCTGACATATTAAATCATTGCTTTAGAGAAGAATTAATCTCTTTTTAAAAGCAGTGAACTCTCAGAGCTTTCCTTCTTGACTCTCCTGAGTTTTTAAAGATTAAGTAGAATAAGGATTTTTTTTTTTGTATTTTTCCCAGTTTTAAACTTAAGAGGACAATGTGATTTTGAAAGTTAAACTTGGATTCTAGTAAAAATAATTACATTCCACTGAAGTTCAAAACCCAAAGAAAAGAGACAATATAAAGGAATTAAAATCGAATATAAAATAAATACTTCCAAAAGTTGAAACAAAGTAGATCAGCAGAATACAGAGAATGTGAAAAAAGAACAGTGGTTTGGAAAGTTGGAAAAGAAGATAAAGTTAAATCTTGCTTATACTTGTGTAGACTGAAGATACTTGCATCTGGAATAATTGGGTTTTTTCTTTTTTTTTTTTTTCCTAGAAAATGTCTCATTTGTTATTGACTTCTAGAAGAATATTAACATTTTAACAAAAAATGTGAGTGATTTAATTGGCCTCAGCTTAACAAAACCCCAATATAGCAACCTGCTCCAAACTTGGTAAAATTTTTTGTTTTTCTGCTTTCAGACAGTAGTTTATTTTGTGAAGCTGAGTAAGTGAAAAAGTGAAAACATTCTGGTATACCAGAGTACTGGCAGGTTGCAGAAGTTACATTCATAATCCACAGGATAAACTAGGTATATCTATTCAGGTTCAGAATAAATAATTCAGGGAACAGTTAACAGTCCACTGTAAGTAAGCATAAGAAGTCCCACTGATGAGGGTGGT